GACGTCCATTAGCCCCCCCCCCCCCCCCCCCCCCCACCTTCCCGGAGGTTAGGCATGTTGTTCGGCCTGGGTAGACTCTCCGTGTTGATGTACAGAGAAATGCCCATCGACGGGTCTGTCCATTAGCCCCCTCAGGGAAAGGTCCAGGGACTTTTAGCGACAGGGAGACGTCCATTAGCCCCCCCCCCCCCCCCCCCCCCCCCCCCTCCCCCTTGTTTTGCCGAAATGAATAACCTAGTTTGAATATACAAATAAAGCGATCCAGAAAGGCTCTGCCGACAGGTCTTGTCCTTTCTGGGCAGCCATTTGATTAGATTGTGGCAGACCTGGTGGAGATATTAGATGTGTTGCGTACAATTGGGAAGGTTGTATATCACGCTGTGCGGCCCTAACCCCTGACACTACATCTACATTGACTCTCTGCCTCTTACATTCATAAATATCCCGTCAGCACAGGGCTGGTGAGCAGTGCTGGGAGGAGGCTTGACTCATAACTCATACCACGATTTGTTTATAAGAAGATTTAGATGGAACGGCGCCCTACTTTAGCCTGATGTATCCTTTTTGTTTGACAGGGTCTGTGCGTCCCCAGGTGGGGGGTTATAATGACATCACTTATTGTGATGAAAAAGTCTGTTTCACAGTAACAAGACAAGCAGGACCGTAGCCAGGATTTTTTAAATACTGAGGTCAAAATTGTTAGCCCTTCCTAGATGTGGCCCGTGACGGATCGTGGTCTTGTAGTTGCAGAAATAATACTGAAGACTTCACCTGGGTGTCCTCAATGGTAGGTACGGCCATTAGCATTTGTTGTCGTCGAGCCGCGATTTCTGCCCCTGACCTTTGTTCAGGACAGGGGTCCGCCACATAACATTGGTTGCTTAAGTGTCGTCCAGCAGGATTGCGGCCTGATTCACATCCGCAGTGATTTTCATCGGTTCACCATGCATGATGAGAGAGATCGTGCTTAGTTTAATACATCCCTCATCTTTTGATTCATTTCCTGGGACTACATAATATGCTCAGCATCCTATTGTTCTCCGTTGTACCCCCAGCCACCCGCCCCCCACCTTAGAAAAATGTTCAGCCGACAGGACCTAGAACACTTGCCTGTTGTGGCAGTCGACAGTCGCTCCGAATCACCCAGAGATGTTACCTTCCTGTGAACTTAATAAGTAGAGTACCTTAATGTCCCTTTTCCTGAAAGACGTTCCCTTAAAGGCTTTTGGAGTACAAAGGAGAACATTCCCCTGTTTACCACGTTAACCTGAGTGATAGTGGAGCTCCTTCTGCAAAGGTATTTTACTACCTGAGACTCTCCAGATCATTCAATAAATCAATACTGCGAACCCGCTGGCTTTCCTTGGCATGCTGTAGGCGCTCAGGGTAGATGGTAATATAAGCTGGAAGGCGACCTGATGCAGGAGGAGCTTAGCGAGAGCTTGAGTTAATAGAGTTAACGTTCAAAATGTCATCTCCTTTCCAGTGAGCACTGAACATGTCTTCAACATCTACAGTTGGGGCTGCTGTGAAAGAGCCACTGCTAAACTCGAAGCCTAAACATAGGAGAATTTCACCCTGGGCTTTACTAGATACTCCCACCTCAGTATCTAACATTTTTACACTTTTATTTGTTTTATTTAATAGAAGCTTTTATCCGAAGTGACGTACAGTTGACAAAGCAGAGCAATTGGGGAGTTATGGGCCTCGCTCAAAGGCCCAGTGGTGATAGCAGTCTGCCGACCACAAGATTTGAACTGGCAACCTTCTGAGCCACTTACCTTCTCTCCAAAAATGCAAGCAGCCAACCCAGATGGGACTTAACTTGCAATCCCTGGCATAGGAGGCCAGTGCCTTTCCCATTAAGCCACTGTGGCAACATCTTATCTGATAACATACTGTAGTAAATAACCAGTATGTTCTCAGACCAATTGCTGACTCTTTTGCTCAAAGACCAACCCAAGTTCACTGGAGTGGGAATAAACAAGGTTTTAATTATGAAGTGCTTATGGTGGCTGTGTTGACCCCGTTGATTCCCACGGTCGTGCTGGTCATGGTTGTGGACTTTCACCTTTTCCCGCAGATGCTGGCGCACAGCAGGGCCCCCGGAGCAAGCTAGATTTACTGTCAGATCTCCCAAACAATCCTAGCCTTGTGGCCTGTAGGACCCAATTTACAGAGCTTTGATTAGCCATGGTACACAGATGTCTTTTGGTGCTTAAATGTTGCTTCTCTCGTATCCGGGTCCTCAATGTCAACGTCGTGAATACATGCATCACCACATTACCACCCCTGCCTTGCCATTGCTGACGTCTGGCATGATGGATCCATGGACTCATGTTGGTCTTCACCGTGAACTGATTTGTCCACCAGTGTGAAATAGCAGGAACCATGATTCATCGGACTAGATGCTGTTTTTCCGGCCCATTGCATCGGACCTGGCGATGTTTTTCGTTCTTTAGTTCGCTGCATTTGCACTTTCTTGTTTTTTTTTTTGCTGACAGAAGTGGAACTGACTGTTCTATTCCACCCGTGACAAGGCACACTGGGTCTGCACAACAGGTTGCACATCTTTCAGCGCCGGCTAGTCAGCTGACCCATAGGTCACCAGGTCTTCATTGACCTTTACGACCAAAAGCCTTTCCTGACTACCGGACTGCCCTTAGCTGAATGCTTTATGAGGTGATAACCATTCCCAGCACCCACGTGAAGACCCCATCGGATTTGCTGTTCCTGAGATACCCATGCTAACTATTCATCTATCTCCTTAGTTTATCATGCATTTTCATTTAACAGGACTTCATCTTCCATAATAGTGTATGCAGTTGCAGTAACACTGGAGACTATCCCATAAAAGTGGATACCCTGGACAAAATTGTGATTCTTTATTAATCCCTGTTGGGAAATTCTCTTCTCACCTACCCTACCTTGCTCTGCATGAGACACACAGATGATTGCAAGCTTGGGAGGGGTGGCGGTCACAGTGCATGGTCAACCAGGGTGCAGTGTGCAGTGCCCCTGGAGCTGGGGGCAACCTTCCCATGCCAGGCACAGAGGTTTAGCCCACTGAGCCACACCCCACCCCCAACAGAATACCACTCCATCCCAATGCACACACTCATACACTGCTGACAGATTTGCATTTCAGGTCCAGAAAGTACAGATCCAGACCAAGATTTACATGCCCAACACTGCATGTAAACATATAAAGTTCACGCCCACAGAGCAGGATTCTCACCCTAAAACCTGCAGGTACAAGGCCGTTGTGCTGCCCTGTTAAATTTTTTTTTCCTTAACCATTCCGGTCTAAATGCTTTTTTTCACACAGTTTTTCCTTTTTTGCGATATACGCACAGGTACCTGACATGCGTGGTATTTCTTCACACACAGCCCTGAAATCAGAACCTAAGTCTGGGAAAGACGCTCGATCATGCTTTTGATTGGCTGGCTTTCGTTCCGGACATCTCATTGCTAGTTCCCGAGAGCCACAATTGGATTTACTTAGCGGTCAGCTAAAGTTGAGCCTCGTCGCCTGTTCAGGCTCATGTGCGCGGTAATGGGTTTGTGCGATTTTCTGATTGGCAGCCATGAGGAAGGAGCACGTGGCCCCCACGTCTTTGCGGAGGCTGGCAGGTCCTCGCTTGGTTGGCCAAGCTCGGCCGCAGTGGGGGTCATGTCCTCTGTCCTCCCACGTCTCCATACACTCACGCCACCACAAATTCCCTGCTGTGTTTTGCAATCACCTGCTTCTCAATGACCGCAGCCGGTGCGGGGGCCGTTATTTTGGGTGTGTTTAGCTATGTCGTCTTGGATGGGGTGACCCCCCTGGGCAGTAGCAGCCTGGATTGTCATGCGTTCGACTATGGATAACAAATCATTGCCCTCCACAGAGTTACTCTACAAACATTAATGCTAACTAATATTATTCTTACTTGGCTTCAATGTGGACAGTCTCAGTCTATGGGATAAGTAAAGAACAAATTTCCAAAACTCACTTAGTCCAATTTTTTGTTGTTTTTGACATGAGACAACCAATAACCGAAAGTCCGGCTTCCTCATCATATGTTACAGTACAGGGAACCAAAACTCACTCAGTTCTCATCTCATCTGTCAAAGAACTTTCATTAAATTTCCAGAACTCACTAAGTTGACAGAACTGGCACTTACGAACGTCCAGGTGAGTGAGTTTTGGGAATTTGCTCTTCATTTGGCAGATCTTACATGGCCATCTGTAGTCCTCGTACTTTCAGAACTCTCCTTTTTGGCTGCTTGGCCAAAATTGGGTCAGAATTCATTGGGGTTCAAGATCTATTTAGCTGCGTAATTGAGCTATTATGTGATACTGCATTCTGTACCAAGAAAGTTCTGCTTTAGGTGGTACTGTTAGATAATTGAAGTCAAAGGAAACTTGGAGATAAATTCAAGTATTTCAATAAATGTATATTATAATGAGACCATTTTGATCCATATTAGGCACACTGATTAGAAATAATTATTTTAGTGGTAGATATCTGAAATGGGAAGGGTTAGTGCAAGAAAAGGAGTCACAAGGGAGAAACAGCGATGCCATTAAGAAAGGTCACAGCAGTAGGACAGTTTCAGCTCCTCCAGTCATATATTCTACATAGTAGGTTAAAAACTTGCTTCATTAGGGCCTAGATGCTCTTGGAGCATCGTTAATCAGCTGAGGTCCTTGAGAACTCACAAGCGTTTCGAATGATGTCATCGAGGGCCCTATATTGACTGTTTTTCAAAAATTAGAGGCGGGTGTTGATTAAGCCGTTAATTGTTGAGTGCAGAGGCGGCACGGGGAATAATTTGCGGTGCGGGAACCCGATCAAGTCAGAGAACAAAGTCCGTCCATGTTATAAGGCATTGACCATTTTGGCTGATTCTAATTGGCCTAAAGAAGGCAATTAAGAGTAGGAAGTAACATCAAGCGACTGGGGCTGAAGCCGTAATAGTGCGTGAGAGGAAGGTGCGGTGTGGCGGTGGGGTGGCATGAAGCAGGGGCAGAATCGCTATGAACTGCAGCCGCCCAACGGCCTGATCCGAAAGACCCAGTTTTAGGGACGACGTGTTTTACCCGTGTGAGCCGGCTTGAAAAAAGAGAGCATCTGATGAGCATCATGTTCTACTCACATGTCTTCATTTAGGAAATATTTACAAATGATCCCAGAGAGTGACGTATTTTCCGGCGGGCAGGAAAGACCTTTTGGTATCATGTAGACCTTTCCTTGCTCATCTCTGTCCGTGTGGCACCCAACCGAAGCATGTAAGCATTTGTGATTAGCACTGGGAATGCGCATATCTGCATCTTCCAGTAACATGACAGAGTCGCCCTCCCCCCTCTGTTCTTCAGCTCTGGGGGGGGGGGGCTATGATTCTGTTCACGGCAGAGGGCTGGGATCCCCACTGACACTAGCTCACATTTTTCGTTCGGAAGGAGCCTCTGCCTAGTGACTCAGAGCCCAGAGAGGAAACTTTCTGATATAATTACATTTTTCCATAATTACATTTTTCTAACACCAACTCCTCATCCCCCCCCCACCCCATCCCTCACCCCCTCCACCTCCCTCCCCCCTGCAGGCCTTCAAGAGTGCCACGATGAGCTCATACTGGTGTGCCGGGAAGGGCGACGTCATCGAGAACTGGTGTCGCTGTGACCTGAATGCTTTCAGCAAGGATGGCCTGCCCAACTGCAGTCCCCTGCGTCAGCCCATGTGAGTCCCGCCTGTGGACCCCCCCCTCCCCGATAGCCAGACCTATTCACATTCTTGTCCCCCAGTCGACCCATGGGAGGGAGAATCAATCAGCACAACAGAAAATATGATTGACAGTGTCTGTCAGTGTCAGCATAGCATTTCCCAGACCATAATACTTGCAGGAGGTATACCCGGACCTCAGGGGACGTCCACTGGCTCTGTGCTAATCTGTGCAATCAGCACCTTTTGAGTCTCTCGTTTGCCTTTTCACACATTTATTCTGCAGACAACAGGAATGTTAAATGAAAAGCTCCAGCCAAACACTATAATCAGTAAATGTAAGTCTTGTGCACCTGCGCTACCACTGTGTGATATTAAAATGTGACTAAAATATAATATTAGTGACTCAGTTTCGTACTCTTAAGAAAGGCCAATGCACTGTAGCAAACTACAATACACAAATAATAAAGCAAGTTTATTTTTTTTAATGAGAGTATTTGTTCTGGACTTAATATGTGTTATTTTGAGTGACGTGGATAGAGGGAACTGGCAGCTTAGAAGGTTTTTTTTTTAATGAAACTAATAGTGATGTCGTTAATAAATGTGGCAGCTCACTGGAGTCTTTTTTCTTTTGGGGCACCAGCCAATCACAGTCCTGCTATTGAAATGTGGGCGGGGAAAAAAGTGTGTGTGCTGGGTTGTGGAATGGGCAGGTCTCACGTCAACCACCTTTCCACACAGCCTGCGCCTGGCGCCACAGCTAGAGCCCTCCAGCACCATGGTGGCCTTGGAGTGGGTCGACGTGGAGCCAATCATTGGCTACAAGGTCTCCGATTACATCATCCAGCACAAGAAGGTGGAGGATCCCTCAGAGGCTGAAATCTACACAGGTGGGCTTCCCACAGAGCAGGACAGGGCAGGGTCATCATGTACATAGGAAGTGTCTGGCAGCAGGCTGACGGAATCATATTCTGGCATCAGAAACGTAAACATTTTCAGCTCTAGGTCAGCTGTATATGACATGTTATGTTCGCCCTACGTATGGCTTGTATTTGCTAATTTGCGACGTCGTGATGGAGATCCAAAGCCCCCCCTCAACAGCGAGATGCCGTTCCCATCAAGAAAGTTAAATCAAAAGAATATGCGGCAAGTTTTCCACTAGACGGCAGCCAAAGGCGTTACAATGTTCTCACACACTTGTACCTAATGAAGTGTGTAAAATCGCACAATGGCTGACTTCAATTAAAATGTTAACCTATGAAAAAGATAATCCATCCATCTTTCATAACTACTTTTACTGTACAGGTGTGCAAAGAGCCTGGAAGTCATCCCAGAATGTACGGGGTATAGGGCAAGGGACCCCTTAGAGCAGATTCCAGCCAGGAGAGCACGCTAACTGAATGGGAGCAGTAGCCATAAGTCTATGATAATACTCTGAAGACGATGTCAATGAAGACGCTTCAAACACTGCGCTGTCAATGTGGCCTTGAAGGTCATTAGATTTGCAATCGGTCATTTATGGCACGTGACATAGGTGATAATTAGCATCAATATTGGTGACTTTGTTGGGGCAAAAAAATTTTAGGAGATGAAAGCAGAGACCCTGCACCGGCCTGTTTAACAGTGCCTTGCGTCAGGTGTTTTTGTCTGCGTACCAAACTCGTGTTGCGATAGAGATGCAATCTCTCTAGACAGGCGATAAATAGGCCTCTAATCCCTTTGGCCGGGTCGGCTAGCTTAGCTACGGCATAGCCGAGAACGAGGCAGACGGCCTGACGGATGTTCTCCATGCCGATGGAGTCGTTCCCGTAAACTTAGATAAGCAGCGAAGATCTGGGGGCTGTCCAGTTAAGCCTTATCTGCGTGTTCATTCTGGAGAAAATGTTATGAATGTGGTTGCATTGTTTGTGCGTGTGTGTTTGTGTGCGTTGGGGGGGGGGGAGTAGTAATCACAAAATCCATATCTGTCACCGATTCCCAGCCAGGCAATGAATCAGGAGGTTCAGCGACAGCCAATTAACAGAGGTTAAATAAATAGTGAGGGAATGGCGGGGAGTAGTGGCCTGTCCGGGAGGCGGCGGATGAAGGAGAGCACAGGGAGAGGTGATGAGGAGCTGGGCCAGGGGACAGGAGATGGGTCGAAATGTCAAAGGCTGGAGTTCCTGGTGGGGTAAAGACCTGAGAGTAGTGGATGGTTGTGGAGACGTGGTCGGGACAGATGGCGTGTGACTCATCTCCCCTCTGATCCTCGCACTCCGTCAAACCTCTCAGCACCCCCCGTAGCCCCCCCAACCAGATGAAAAGTGAGTTCTCCCTCAACTGTCTCTTGTAGTTGGCCCAGTGTGACTGGATTCACCACAGAGTTATCATTCGGATATTTTCACACGCATTCCTTAGAAACGCACACTACAGCTTTTTCTGTAAGTATGTCTTGGCCGGCGTTTTCTAAGGCTTCACTTAAGTATCGGCACCACCACTGCCAGTAAGCCTCCGATAGGTTCTGCAGAAGGTCTTTGGTGCTGAAGAAACCGGTGCTTGACTGCCGTGCCTTCTGGGGCAGGGTGATGAACGTCCATGTCCGGCTGGTGGATGAAACCGGCTTGACCATTTTACGCGTTTGATGTAATTAGCACAAAAAGCACAATAGCAGATGCCCACTGCACTCTAGCCACCAATCATTTTACTCATTAACCTCAATGTCCCCTGATAACTGTAGTGGACAAACCCAGAACATTCTGGAGCCTCTCTTGGTGCGCATGTTTTCCGGTGCCAGCCGCTGACCTAGGGGGCTCTTCGCCACCCCCCTGATTTACTGCAGGATTAATCCCCACAGATAACCGTCTCTCCGATACCCCGAAAACGTTCTGAGAACAAATTTGGAGAGCCCCGGGGCATGCGGCTGCCGTTTGTGCTATTTCCAGGCCGCCCCCAAATTTTTCAGGTGAGGTCAGAGCTGAGGATAGAGAGCCGCGAGACTTTGTTGTGGTTGGAAGCCGCCCCCACCCCACAGTCCATAAATCAGTCTCTGGCAAGAAACATCTTTGAAGCTTCCCATAGGTAACATCTACTAGCCTCCACTGTAGCCATAGCATTTTAATTTCGGTAACGATTTCGGTGCCTCCTGTGACGTTTCTGAAGTCTCATCGGCGGTCACCTTCCGCTCTTGTTCCATTTTTAGCTTATAAAGCACACTGTCGAGATTTTGAGCCCTATTACCCTTCCTCCAAGCGAGAAGGATAAAGCCCAATGCATTTTTTTTGGCTAAACGTTTGTTTTTATGAATTTATAAGGACCAGTCGTCCCATTATCCCGAACATGTCATAACGATTCTAAATTTAACATAATTATGAGCTTTTTTTACTTCTTTGTATCATTATCCATCCATCTTCCCGTCCACTTATCCAACTCAGGATCAACGTGGGCCTGGAACCTATCCCAGCATGCTTAAAAATAACCCGAAAGGGGACAATCTGGGTGATGTTGTTCTTTACACCGAAACCCGTCGTAAAGAATAAGAAGTTTTGTCCCATGTAGATGCTCCTCAACTTACGATGGGTTTATGTTCCGAAGAACCCAATGGAAGCTGAAAATATCGTAAGCCGATTATGAATATGAGATGATAAATGAATAAGTAACTATACAATACTTTGTAACACTGTATGAGATGCTTACAAAGACTGGAAGCGTGGCTGCATAGATGGTGCCATCGGCCAGCATCAATCGAAAGTATTGTGCGGCATATTGCTAGCCCAGGAATCGCTATGGCACCATCGTAAAGTTGAAAGTTTAACCATCGTAAAGCAAGGGGCATCTGTATATATATATATATATATATATATATTACATTTATTTAGCAGGCATCTTTTTTCCAATTTGACGTACAAATCAGGATCAGAGAACCGGTCAGCAAGTCCCTGGAGCAAGTGAGGGCTACAGGCCTAGCTTTAGAGCCAATCGGTGCCATCCCCCTGTCAGTCAAAATATTTAAACCAGCAACCTTCCAATCACAGACACTGGGCCGCACACCATCCTCCCACATTTTTCTTCTGAAGTTAGCTTTCTGGGATTTGTGTTTTTTTGTTTTTTTTTAAAACTCATACTCTTAAAGGGATATATACCGATTTTTTCAAATTCATCAAGCACCTGCCATACAAGCCACGAGGTAATGTCGACCACACTGCCTCATTCCTAATCGAGACCTGCCAGCAGACAAATGATTTCAGAAGCTGAAGAGGAGCTGCGTCTGACCCACGCGGTCAGTGGAAATGCAGAACGAGCCATTTCGTTTGCAGATCCGCATCTACAGAACAAAGGTCCCAAAAGAGGAACTAGTAAGAGTTTTGGTTTGTCTGCCCAGTACAAGAAACCTGACCGCAGCCCCCCCAGAACGGCTCCCTGCAGACTTTTTGTGAGCTCCGTTTTCTCTCTGTTTATTCCCTCCCTTGTACAATGAAGGGATTTTTCTTGCCGTCTTTCTTTCTCTTCACTTGCTGTTTACAATGGTCTTCACTGCATTATTTCACAACAGACCACTGAGTCCACTCTGGGGCATTGACTCACAATCCACAGATGTGTCTGGTATTTACTAATTAAGATAAATAAAATATTTTGCATCATGCTGACTGACGCAGGGGGGAAACCGGCATTTTCTATTACCGCTGCATGTAAACAAGTTTCTGCGTGTGTGTACACGTGGGTTTTTTTCTGTTCCTGATGCATTTCTCATGCTCCTTCCCATACTTTCTCCAAGTGTGGTGATTTTTCTAGTTAGCTTGTTAACATTTGCTGCCTTTTAACTGGGGGAGCGTGGAGATGGGAGTGCACATGTGGACTCAGGTATTCTTGGTTCCACTGGGAATTGGATGCACTACATCCGCCATCCAGGAATCGCTGGCCAGAAGGGCATCCTGAGTGCCAACACTGCTACCGCTCCAGGGTGCTGATATTGTTCCGTATAGCCGTGAGCTGCATCAGATTATGGTCTGTTTGCCATGACAAAAGTGTCGTTTTATGATCCTGAGTAAAACATTCAAAGAATTCATGATGGCAGTCACATGACCTCCTTGCTGCACATGAAGGAAAAACACTGTGCCTTTCTGGTCTTTTTTCCATTTTGCTACTTTCATTGCAACAGTGCAACCTCTACATCCATTGCTGCTGCTCCTTGTCAGAACCTATGAGCGGCTGCGACACCAGTCAAGGCAGTCAGCCAGCAGAGGGCACTCTCCTACCTTACCCAAATCAAAATGAACAGCGGCGGCAGCAGCCAGCTCTGATCCTGGAGCGCCGGAGATGATTCCGGGCTTTTACTCTACCGAAAACCATGAATCATTTCCTTGGACCGGTCGTCGCGTCTAATTAATACAGGTAACCGTACATTTCAGATACTAGGTATTTCACTGTTTCGGGCATCAGGAACAGAGTCCCCTGTCCCGGTTTAATGACTCGGACTGAATACGACAAGGCAGGATTCCATGGCATTGCTCCTTCTTAGCTTTTTAGAACTTTTTCATGGAGACTAATGTCTAATTTAATTGGCTTTTCCCGACAGGTCTAACCACCGGCGTTGCTGTGTGTGTGGCGCAGGGTGTCCGGGATGGTCCGCATCTGCGAGAAGCGGGTACCTACCATCCGTCGGAATTTTAAAAGGATACCCGGCGGGAAAAAATCCTTTTAAATCCTCAAGAAGTAGAAAAAGAGGCTATTTATACCATGCCGTGTCACGTAACCCGTGACAAGTGATTTAACTGTCTGGCAGGTCGCTGCGGCGGGGCTGGAAGGACCCTGCTGGTGACATCACCCTGAGGCATCCCTTCAGGTTGCCGGATTAGATGTGCGCTTTTGAAGGACTTAATTTCATCCTTTCATTTCTGTGTGGGGGGCTTATCAA